AAATCTAGGTTTCATGTGAAATTCCCTGATTTCTAAGCACTAGTCAGAAAAAAAAAAAAGAAAACTTTGTAAGGAAGACAGAACGTATCTATGGGACAGAGAGAGAGTGTGTGGCCCAGCAGTCTGAGACCCGGAAGACGATAGGTCTTCCACTCAATCCACACGCCTTTGCCCTTCCGTGAGCTCCATCTCCCCCTGACGACATTTCTCATTCGGGCCTCTGACCAGAGATACCACTCCTCATGCCTTTTTGGCCCACCGTCAGGGCAGCCTCTAATGGCTGGGCTCGGTCTGATGGGGAAGCTTTCCCCTTGGTGATAAAAGTGAAGTAGGGAAGTGGAACAGGCAGCAGTAAGAAGAGAGGACACATCGCCTGATAAACAGAGAGGAGGTTGGAAGCACCAGATGGCCATGCTGGACACTGGGGGACCTGGGGCCCAACAGGGATTCCTGACACCCACAAAGAAGGAATAAGACAGCTGGGCAACCACTGCTGGATTCTCCTCTCACACTCAAATCATGACGGACCATGCCACGTGACATCCAGGCAATTCTCCACATGTAGGAAGTCATAGGCTGATTAAACTAGAGCGCCCTCATTCAGCTGTGAGCCCGTGTGCCGCGGGCCCGCCAACCAACTAAACGGGTGAGTGGACAAACAGACAGCTGACGAAATAAGACAGATCCAAACTCTGAGGCCTCAGTGTTTTAAGTGAAGATGTTAAGACTGTGAAAGTAAGGAACACAGAAACTCTATGGCTTCAGTGACAGCAGTCACAGTGGGGAGCTGGACCTAAGGGTATCTCAGGGGTCAAGGAAAAAAATCAATCAAATCAGAAATACATGAACACAGAATTCTGGACACCAAAGGTTCATTTCATTTTTGGAAAATACTGATTTTTAAAGAGGTTCGATGAGGTCTTAGTGAATAAGCCCCATTCCTGAAAAAGAACAGTGGATACAAATATTCTCAGAAGAATTTAAAGCAGTAAGGAAATGGAGAGAAATCTTTTAGGTTTCTAGACACACTTTCTGAGACTAGACCAGGACAGGGCTGAACTCAAGATCATATCTGAACTCAAGTAAAAAGATAAAGTTAAAATATTTTGAAATTATTTGGTAAAACAAGCTCTGGTGTCAATCAATAGGGCTAATTAATTTGGCAACTTAAAGCAATACCAGAGAACTCTTTCTCTTTCCTTTGGGCCCATTTAAATGGCACAAAAGGCCATAAACAGGTTTTAGTCGGTAGATAGAGTAGAAAACTGAAACAGAGCTAAATGACTGATTTTTAAAAAGGCTGATGAGATTTTGCCTAGAGCTATGCACAAGCCAGATTCTAACCTACATGAATAAAATAGGCCCCCCAGATGAAGAAAACCAAAAAGAAACTCGTATTAACTAAAAGACTACTATTTCCTAAACATTATGGTAGGCACTTTCAAAATATTTCATTAAGGAATGCATTTATGGGGCGCCTGGTTGGCTCAGTGGGTTAAGCCGCTGCCTTCAGCTCAGGTCATGATCTCAGGGTCCTAGGATCGAGTCCCGCATCGGGCTCTCTGCTCAGCAGGGATCCTGCTTCCCTTTCTCTCTCTCTGCCTGCCTCTCTGCCTACTTGTGATCTCTCTGTCAAATAAATAAATAAAATCTTTAAAAAAAAATAAGAAATGCATTTATGAACTTGTTTCTCAATTCATATATTACAAATTACCTTAAAAGTTACTAAATCAAGCATTTCAGCTCTCAAATTATGCTGTGTTAAAGACTATCTCCTATTACAGAAAACAGCACTAATTTTGTTTTTCAGAAACTATGTTTGAGAATTCATTCACAGTGGTAAAACTAGTGTTTCCTTTAGTAAGTGTTTCCTTCCCTATATCCAATGGTATGTAGGTAAACGTATGAGAAATGTTGCCTTCATGGCTCAAATTCATTTGCCAAATAAGGCTCATATTCGGTCATCCTTTAGCAAAAACTTCACATAAAACTACAACGCTACACTGTCCTAAGTGCAGCATGTGTTTGAAGATACTCATGGTTCTAAGATTCTGGGGCAGCTAAATACTGCCTTGGTGACCTCATCATGGCACATGGTTGCCTGGATCTGGTAAGACAAATTTTCACTTGCTCCGCCAAGCCCAAGTCGCTCCAAAGCACTCCACAGTCTCTCATTCTACTTGCCACCACCTACGTGCCATCCTAGGGGAGGCCACCACGCCACAGGGCCACCAAGTCCTGGAGACCCCTGAGGTGACTGAGCCCAGCAACAAGGTGTCCCATTCATGACAAGCTCCCAGAGGCCCTCGGGGTGATCCGTGGGGGAGCTATGGCAGCCCGAGTGTTCATAATCATCTGCTTCAGCTTAAAAGATTGGGTCACAAGCTGACATTCACTTGGAACAAAAAAGGGATAGAACTGTCTTTTACACCCTTCCCAATGGTATGAAAACTGTCTCTGGAGGTGGATCTCTGCAAGAAAAAAAAAGCGTTTTCCAGTAGAGGAAGGGAAAAAGGAGTTCTCTGATGGGGTTTCAACATTCTCAAATAGGCAGCAACAGGGTGAGAGAAGCAGCACTCTGAGAAGTCTTACCACAGAAGCGCAGAGCAGACACCCCCAAGGGCGGGCTGCACGGAGGCAAGGAGCTTCTGTAGGGCCATGAGGCCAGTTGAGGGGAGCTCATGGAGGGAGCTGCTCCCAGCCTCCCCAGTGCATCATATACCTTGCATTATGGCAGTAAACCAAGGAGATTTCCAAAATTAGCACTAATTTGTTGAGCCAGGAAGAAGAACCATCCTAATCATTTTGGTCATTTAGACCTCAAACTGTTTTTCCAGGAAATTCATTCAGAGGATATAAAAACTGGGTTCCTGAGAAAGGGGACCTCGTTGTAGCAAGTAAGTCTATCCCCCCTTCCCACGATAAACCTTCACTCTGCTCTACGGGCTTCTTGTTCTTGTCAAAACAAGATAAAAGCAAGCAGTGTCTGTGCAAACCAGGCAACTGAAAGGTACAGTGTGTTCAATTTTGGTGTTGGGGTGAAAATCAGATGGAGTCCAAATGACCCGCAGGGGAGACAGTTGCTAGGCACCGGGGGCCACATTACATGAAAGAAAAACACAAATCTCTGAACACTGGGGTTAACTGTGTTTGGGAACTGAGACCAACTGGAAGGAGATGAGATTCATGTCTCCCCAACATTTTCCCCCCAGGACATGTGCTCACTGGGCAGCATTAAGTGGAATGGTGGGTGGAACTGCTCACACTACTAATGATCCTTTCCTCTTCACCCTCTCATCGTTTTGCTTGCTCAATGGAGTCTAGTCAATTACATTAACCAACCGCCTTATTATCACAAATTCAGTTCTACAGGATGGAGCTATCATGGTTTGTGGGAGCACTGTTCAAAGCTGCAGCGTTAGTTATGAGGCAATAAGAATGAAAAGAATCAGGCCCCTATTTCCAGGCCAAGACAGGCTGGTACTTGACAAGGCCAAGGACGGAGAGACCAAAAAAAAAAAAAAAAAAAAAAAAAAAAAAATGTTTTTCCAAATCCACCCCTTGATAGTGAATCCTGTTCTATTTGTGTTACTCAGATGACAGTTGGTATATTTGATAGTTTGCCTGCTTCATTCTAGAAAGGGAAGACAATCAAGAGGCTGTAATACGTTGGAGACATATGCCAAGAGAACAGTTAGGGAGGAAAGAACACAAGATACTTATAATCCTTATCTGGGGGAACGCTGACAGAGTTTGACCAGAAAAGAACAGAAAAGGAAACACTTCTGCCACGAGAAGCCAGATGCGCTCATTATTGTGGTGGGAGACATAAAGAGAGGACTCTGGATAACGAAATATGAGGAGAGAAAGGCCCTTTGTTTTCTGCTGGCTCAGGAATGCCGGTGCGGGACAGAGACTGCAGAGGCGAGCCCAGTTTTGCTGCTCACGGCTGTGTCTCAGGATCAACCTGACAGCTTGGCTGCCACTCAAGAAACCTGAATCATCATCTTCATGCAACAGAAATGAGTCAGCCCGGGCCCTGTTCAGTGAGACCAGCCCTGCAACTAGGCTGTATTAACTGCTGAATTAGAACCACACTGGCACGGGGGTTGGGGTGGGGAGACACAAACAATACTGCCAAAACCAAGATGTCCACTGAGATCTTTATGCTTATCTGAACTCGCACTGTCCTCACGACAATTCTGTGAGGTAGGTCTGATTTTCCTTGTCATTTTGCATACGGATAAACTGAGGCACAGGGCTAAACCACTGAGTAGGTAAGTGGCAGAGTGAGAACACCCCCTGCCTTTCTGGCTTCACAGATTATGCCTACTGCTAGACCACATCGCCAACTAAAAGGACTAATCATGTGACTGTTTACTGAGTGCCCTCTTCTACCCACCTCATAGGATTACCTCCCTTAACGATCACGACTAGCTTTGGAGGACACTGAGGCAGAGAAGTTCGGTAACAAGTCTAACTCCTCCTGAGCTAGAAGTTCAGGAACCAGTCACCAACCAGGAAAAAGCTCTAGAATGTGAACGAGGGAGCTTGGCTCCACAGCCCTGCCCTGGACCAGGACCGCACACTGTGGCCAGCATCTTGCTTCATCTCCACAGTTACCACAGAGAAAGCTGTTAACGTCCTCATTTTAGAGGTATAGGAACTGAGGCTTAGCAGCCACTATGACACAGAAGCTGGGTTTGTGCCCGCTATGGATTCATGACCATGACAGAGGAACGATTGAACAGAGGGTGTGGCACCCCAAGAACAAACGGGAATCTTTTCCTGTAGGGTGGTTAAGTGCCCTCAGGGTTACTCCAAACAAAGTAACTGGTAACATCAAGACCTTTCCCCACCATAGCCATGTTTCTCATGTGAGAAAGACTTCCTTCTAAATTCCCACCTGCTACTGCCCTCAGAATGACAATGAGGGACCCCCCCAAACCCACTCCCCTGCCCTGACCACCCCCAACAGCAGTTAAACCATTTGCACTTACGCTTTAAATGCTGGGAGGTAGGAGTATATAGAAACGCTGCTTAGGTTATAAATAAATGGCAGGTGTTTTCTGATATCTGTTGTTGCCCAGCTGTTAAAAAATGTGTTCAGTAAACCCTGGTCCCCACCTGAAAGAAAAAGAAATGAATTACTGTCATAAACTTCAGAGACAGGCCAACAATTTTATAGGAACACATAGCTGGATCTTTAAAAATAGGTATGGATTCCATTTTTAAAATAAGAAACTCTGTGTTAAACCTACCAAAGCCATTTCCCCAAGTTAATTCATGAATTCAACAGGTATTTACTGAGCAGCTGCTATGTGCCGGACACCGAACCAAGCACTGGAGAGTCAAGAGAGAACAGAGAAATGGCCATCATCTTCATGAGGGGCAGGGCAGGAGGAGGGAGAATACACTGGTACCAGCAAACGAGAAGTCAATAAGCATCACCACAGAGGAGGAGGAGAGAGGCAAAGTGCTGGGTGCTACGAGGCATGTGGAAGAGGCTCAAGAACATGTGACGTGTCAGGAAGGCGTCCATGAGGAGGCTGACAAATACAGGGGGAGAAGAGGAGGAGGCCAGATGGTGTTTCAGGCAGAACAAACAGCATGTACCGAAGATGTGAGGTGGGCAGGAACGTGAGGCTGTGGAAAGACCCGGAAGCTGGCCTGTGTGCCTGGACTGCAGCAGGGGAAAGGGTGGGTCTCAGAGATGTGGGAAGGGACCAGATCACACAGGGCTCAGACTACATGGACTTTATCCCCAGTTAAGGATTTTAGACTTTACGAGGCTATGGGGGCAGGGGTGGGGGTGGTAAAAAGCAAAAGAGAGCAAACTGGGTTAATGGAATAGTCTTCCAGAGCCCCAGCTGTTGGCTCATCGACAGAGGCCCAGAAAGACACATCATCCTGGTACATTCTCCTACCACTGACCAAGCCTCTGGACAGGTCCAGGTCAGTCATTACTGGGACCAAGGTCAGCCACGACTACATAGCATAGCGTCTGCTTAGCCCTTGGGGGTTCCTGATCTTTATGCCTTCCTTTCAAAGTGACAACCATGGCCATTCTTTCAAAAGAAACTAAAAGTATCTAACCTAAATCATAAACACACAAGTAACCAAACAAGTCAGTGTGCCACCTCAAAACATATTCTGCCCCATAACCCATGTCCTTTCTCCATACAATGAAGCATTACTCAACAATATAAACGAAAGAACTACGCATACCCACAGCAACTTGGAGGGATCTCAAGAGAATTATGCTGCATGAAAAAAAACGAGTTCTACTGTGCCAGCTATAGAACATCCTTTACACTATGAAATTATAAACAGAACAGATTTGTGGTTGTCAGGGTTCAAAGAGGGGGAGAGAGTGGAGGAGAAGCGGCCATGGCTCCAAGAGAAGCATGAGGGGTTCCAGTGACAGAACTGTTCTGTCTCAACTGTGGTTGTGGTCACACCGAACTAACTACACACGTAATAAAACTGCATAGAAAACCCATACACAGGGGCGCCTGGGTGGCTCAGTGGGTTAAGGCCTCTGCCTTCAGCTTGGGTCATGATCCCAGGGTCCTGGGATCAAGCCCCATGTCGGGCTCTCTGCTCAGCAGGGAGCCTGCTTCCTCCTCTCTCTCTCTCCCTGCCTCTCTGCCTACTTGTAGATCTCTGTCAAATAAATGGATAAAATCTTTAAAAAAAAAAAAAAAAAAAGAAAACCCATACACATACACAAACACACAACACGCCATACTCTTGAAACTACTGAAATCTGAATAAAGCTTATGGATCGTATCAATGTCAATTTCCTTTTTGTGGAATTGAGATGTTATCATGGGGAAACCTGGTGAAGGATACATGGGAACTTTATTATTTCTTACAACTGCATGTGTACCTACTATTCTGAAAATAATTTTTTTGTAAGTCTGAGGATTAATGTGCTTAAAATACAAAATATGATGAAGAACTGTTAGCCATTAGATTCTAAATTCTGCAAGGACAGAGACTATGGCTTTTTGCTTTTTACTGTAATTCTACCACATAGCAGAATGCCTTACACATACACAACCTATTTGTGGGACAAATGCAAGAAACTTGAAGATGTTCTCTAATAGCAAAGAAGCTGAAAAAACTTGACTATTCCACCCAAGAGGAATGGTTAGTACATTATGCTATATACACTGGTGGGAATATTATTCAGCCACTAAAACTAAGGGCTATAATGACCATCAGTCCACCAAGCAATATAAAATACACAGTGACAGACATCGTTATCATAACTAAGAACATAAACATTCAGACTGGAAGAAAACAAATGAAACAACAGTCATTGTATAAGGGGACTGGTGTTACAGATATACTCTCCCTGACTTTTCCTTAGTAAAGCCGTATTTTTGTTATTTTAAAATAATAGATGAGGAACAAGAACAAGATTGTGCCAAGACCTTTTGTAAATATTCTTTACCTGTTAATTTATCTTCATTACAAAATATACTGTAAAAAAGTGTATGTGTAGTTTATAAAACATTAATTATAAAACTCTATCCAATACCCAATTTAAGAACTCAAATGTTACCAGTGCTATTTAAACTCTGTGCGGGCTACCTAATCCAATCCCACTGCCCATCCCCCAGAACTACTAATGGAAAGTTTTGTTTAATGGTCATGATTTCTTGGGTTTACCACATGTATATGTATCCCCAGACAACATCGGTAGTTTCACTTGTTTCTGAACTTCAGAAAATCAGGCATCATGCTATATATTTTTTTCTATTTTTTTTTTTTAGTTCTACATTAGAAGACCTTTTTAAAATTAAGCATTTCTACTGAAAAGGACTACTGACTACATGTAGGACAATGAAGAATTCTAATTCCGTGAAGGTCAGAATAGTAGTTGTAAAGCAGAACTTCCCAATTGGACAGGATGATCCTGGGAAACAGAAGTCAGCCCTGTTGATCCCTCAAAGCCCCGGCCAGCTGCCCCTGGCCACCGAAGGCTGTTTCTGTTTACCTTACAAAACCTCATCGGTCCCTCAGCCGTGTGCCACAGCAGGGCCGAGCAGCACCGGTGGGACAGGAAACCAGCAAGAGGTGGAATACGCAGGGAAGACCTATGAGTCAGTCATATGCATTCAACTGGCAAATCCTTACGTAGTCAACAAGAACCTTGCTCTAGAGGGGACAGGACAGCACAGAGCATACAACTTCCATGGCCTCCGACCTCATTATGTGACTACAGAGGGTCGAATTCCAGCCCAAAATTGTGGATTAAAAATAGAATTAAACATCACCTAAAAGTCTGTAGCTTTTTACATGATTTTTAAGTTTAGCATTTCAAAAATCTTTTTTCAAATGCACAATTCCACATTTCAAGGTCAGGCAAATGTTTTAACTGCATCAGAAAAATCTATGTAGCATCATCAATACTGTGTTTGGAGAAATCCCTGAATTACAGCACAATTCAAAGCAGAATGCAAATCTCAGCATGTCCACACTACAAAACATACAGGGATGCTATGAAGACTACTGAATTTTCACTACAAAATCCCTAGAACTTTCTAGTCCAGTACATTCAATCAGACTTCTGGAGGCAGCTTTATTTATTCTGACATGTTAAGACACTTCTAATCTCAATCATCTCTGAACCGACAAACACGATTAGGAGACATCACCAGCAGTTATGATCCATAGGCCAGGGTGTGGCAACAGAGGTGAGAGACAGAAGGAAATGGGACAAGTGACACATGGCACCTGTTTTGCAAACAAAAGCAAATATCAGATTCTGCCTCATCCTTCCACCTGGCTGCCCAAGTACAGTAATAACCTTGCAACCACTCCGTATTTTCCAGGTCTTTTGAGCAGGGTCATGAACCCGGTAACCATAGACACAGCATTTGTCAGAAGCTCTATCTTGTAAGGCAGAAATGGAGTTGAGTGCCGTCTTTCAAATGTGTGCATTTGTTTTTGTGCCCCTCCATAGTTTGTTGGCACTTGGCCTTCCTCCTCTGGATAGCAGGAAGGGTGGGTCAACTCTGGTTTAAACATGAACCCTAGCAGCTCAGCCACAGGAATATTCCCTCTAAAATCATCCTAGGCAAAGTAGTCCAGTTTTCAGCACCATGGCCATCACCGGGGAGCTTGACAGAAAGGCAGAATGTTAAGCCCCAACCCAGACCTACAGAATCAGAATCCATGTTTTAACCTCTAGGTGATTTCTTTGCATATTAGAATATGTGAAGCACTGGTTTAGAGTCTTCTAGGGAATTCCTTTTTTTTTTTTTTTTTAAATCGGAGAATGCAATTTGCACAGTCATTTCTATAGAAAATGTCTGAAGTAACATAAATTAAGTGTAGGCATTATGGCTAGGATGATTAGTAAGATAGGTTTCAGCTCTCAAATGGTTCTCAATCTAATGAAAGGGCAGAGGACCAAGTATCAAGCAAAGAATTTAAAGTAAAATATGCTTAATACTTTACAGTGATACAGGCAAGCACGGAAATGAAAATGTGACTCGCTGTGTTAAAACTGACATCACTATACACTGGTATCAGCACTTCTGCCTATAGCAAAAATGCCAAGGATTATAGTCTATGAATGGCCAATATCTTGGGGATATTTCTATGAGGTTTACCAAGGATCATCGGATGAACCCCAGGTGGCTGATGGAAATCTAGGCACTTGAAGCTTGGGTCTCACTATTACTGCATATCACCACCACCCCTCTAGTCAGGCTCCCAGCTCAGTGGGGAGCCTGCTTCTCCCTCCCCTACCCTCCTGCCCCCATAGTCATGCACACCCCTCACATGTACTCTCTAATAAATAATTTTTTTAAGATTTTATTTATTTGACACAGAGAGGGCTCACAAGTAGGCATAGAAGCAGGCGGGGGTAGGGGGAAGCAGGCTCCCTGCCGAGCAGAGAGCCCGATGTGGGGCTCCATCCCAAGACCCTGAGATCATGACCTGAGTTGAAGGCAGAGGTTTAACCCACTGAGCCACCCAGGTGTCCCCTAAATAAAATCTTTTTTTAAAAAGAGATTCTTGAGTGCCTGAGTGGCTCAGTGGGTTAAACCTCTGCCTTTGGCTCAGGTCATGATCTCGGGGTCCTGGGATCGAGCCCTGCATCGGGC